ACCATGAAAGAAACTTGAGGAAGATTCTTGAGTGTTTCTTCGAAGAAAGGTTGGAGAAGCTTCGTGGCGCGTGTGAAGGGGACGAAAAGTGACATGGAAGGGAGCTTGTCGGTGCTCTCGACGCCGGGAGGGATTCCGGTGATGTTTTCCGGGAAAGGGAGAGAGATGACATTGATCTCTTTCGTGTCCGAGAGGAAGTCTGAGATGAAAGGTTGGTTCTTAGGAGTGGTGAAGACGGTGACGGTGACGGAGATGGTTGGTTCTTGGCGGTGGTGACGGAGGAGGAGACGACCGAATTGGAGGAGAGGGATGATGTGGCCTTTTGACATGTAAGGGAAGAGGACCACGTGATGATGTGTTGAAACTGCCATTATTTTATTTTTTTAGTTTGTTTGTTTTCTTGGGTGTTTCTTAGTTCTCACGATATGTTCTGTCCGCAAGCCTATATATATAGGAAGTGAATCGTGATATTGATTAGATATTTGGATGTTATCAAAATCAAATAGCATAACAATTGAGTTGGTGCTTTAAATAACATTTTTAATACATACGTTCACAGTTTATTTTCAACGACACAAGTTAAACTAAAACTCGAGTTTGAAAACCAAACCGAGGGAAACATTATTTCTAATCATAGTAGTATGTGTCAAACATTAATCAGCTAAAGGACATAAAATTCATATTAAGTTACAAGTTATTGCTTGAGTTGAGTTGTCATAAAATTCATATTAAGAAATAAGAACAGTGTCATCTTATAATACTTTATATATGTAATGTTCAACTCATTTTAGTTTACGAACTTAGTTATCGAGTTGAATTTATGTGGAGAGACATCGATGATGATAGCCAAAACCATTATACTATCATAATGTATGTATATGAAATTAAATTAAATTTGTGACAAAAAAATGAAAATTTGATTCAAAGATTAAAATTTGAAGATACTCATTTGTTACATATCAGTAAAATCACCTTCAAATCAAATTTCATATCACCTTTTTCGCATGCAAGAATCCGACCTTGCCATTTTATAGTTTTGAAACCAATTATGACCATTTATGCAACACAGTAAAAAAGAAAAAAAAAATAGTGATAATCCATGCATCAAATATAAAATCTAAAACTAAAACTTTGTGTAATTTCCCATATATAAATATCACTCATACATGCGTACGTATGTTATTTTAAACGTCAACATTATATGAAAAGAAAAAGAATCACAAAGATTTTTGGACAAGACAGCTGGTGTTATACCTATCACTTTCCCACGGAAGCAATAACCCATTAGTTTCTTCTAGAAACCAATACTCTAGAAAGACTATATAATTAATTAAACAAATACAAAATTGAAAAAGAGGGAAGATATCCAAGATTCTCTTTGGAATCTTTCGTATTATATCATGAAAATTTGGATATACTGTATTCATATTTTCATTGAACAAATATATATATATATATATATATATACAGTTAATAAAAAGATGATAATTACGTTATTTCTTCTCTTAAAATATGTATAGTTGTAAAGAATTATGATTTTTATAAACTTTAAGTAGTAATCATAATTCTTTTGATGTTGTTGCAAAGCCGTGGATCTTGTATTCTCCAGTGTTCATGCTCGAGTTCTCTGCCACCGATGATCATCACGATCCGAGCTTTTTCCGGTGACGGCTAGGGTTTCAGTTTCTCATTTTGTACCTGTTTTCATTTTTGTAAAGCCCAGACTTTTTAGAGTTTTGGCCCAGTTTTAATAAAGTATAATATTAAAAAAAAAAATAATAATAATTCTTTTTTTTTTTTGATTTTTTCTTTTATAACTTTATAGAAAGGAACACTATAAATCTATAATGATGCAATTGACATGGACATAGGTCAATTGACATGGACATAGGTCACTACGACGGTTTATCGTTTCGCCCCACTTTTGCATTAAAGCCAAGTATTAGCCAACCTCTTGCCGTGACAATGTCGTTCTAGGCAATGTCTCGCCGTTCGTTTTTTTTCTTTTCATTTTATATTTTGAAAATTTGTTTCTTGTCCTTTTTACTTTTAGTCTTTAGACTTACTTTTTTGCACTACATCAACACCTATCTATATGATATTTTTGTAGATACGTATATACTATACACTTATGACTTACTTCTTTTTCTAGAAGCTCAATTTATAAGAGCATCTCCATTGGGAGTGTGTAGGAGAGAAACTTTCTATTAAAATAAACAAAAGAAATAAAAAAAGGAGGAGAGAGGACATAAACGTTTCTGGGTTGAGACACTCATCTATACAGCTGTTTCATGTTGATTGGTTCAAATAAATAAAAAATAATTAAATAATTAAAAAATTAGTATTATTTTATTTTTCAGACACCCAGTTGAGTTTTTAACAGATGGAAGTGCTCTAAGCATCCTAGCTTCATGTCATGTTGGCTCGTTTCGTTGTCGTCGACATATAATGTGTTGGGCAATAATTGAATTGCAAATGCTTATATTTGGGTTGTGTTGGGCCTTGTTAATATGTCTAGCCTTATTAATTGTAATTAGGCTAAGTATTGTCTCATATAAACATTTGTATATAAGGCTAATGTCTTCAATCAATAAACGCAAGAATCCTATTCATAACTAGGCTATTAAGGCTTCTTAACATGGTATAAATATAAATTTATCACTGACAAAACTTATAATCTAGTGGTTGATACAACTTTGAGTTTAGTGGTTTTGTATTCGTCGCAGTGGCGGATCTAGAGAAAAAATTTAGCGGGGGCAAACGATAATCAAAATTTTTGTTAACTAAATTAATTTTCTTGTAAGTACGTTATACAATATAGTTTGTATATAGGTAAAATAATTCATATTTTCCAGGGTTACGAAAGATACTGTACATATTTTTTTTTTTTTTTTTTGAAGCATAGAGGTATTTCTTTCACTTATGAATAGAGATAATCATATTCAAAAGATTTAAGAAGAAAAATGTTATTCTTAATCCATCAAATATTTTGCATCAAAGCATTGATTAATTTGTCCTTCAAAGAAGTTAAGTTGAAGGAAAAAAATGATTTTATATAAAAAGAAATAATGGTTTAGTGTGCAAAACAAATAAGGAAAAACCATATTGCTAATAGAAATATAATAAATGGCCAAGTAAAAATGGAAATAATGGAAAAGTAAATTGAGTTTGGAGAATGATTGTCTTACGTGGGGGCAAAACATATTTTTCAAAGGGGGCAACTTAATTAACTCCTTAACATTTAAAAGGAAATTGAAAATTTTAGGGGGGCAGCTGCCCCCAACTTACCTTATGTAGATCCGCCCCTGATTCGTCGTGTTGTTATTGGGGAAAAGGGGATTTTCATACCCGTACTATTTGCACCGTGGATTTTCAGACCTGGACAATTTCGTAGGGTATTTTACAACCTGAACTTCAATAAAATTTGAATCTCATACCTATACTTGATACAACGGGCAAAAATCGGAGTCAATCTAACGGGTGTTAGTCAACTCCGTTACGGTGCTGAGTCATCGTACACGTGTACGCTGACGTGTATCAAAACGACGTCGTTTTCATACCCGTACTGTCTGCGCCGTGGATTTTCATACCTGAACAATTTTGTAGGGTATTTTCAACCTAAACTTTAATAAAATTTGAATCTCATACCCTATACTTGATACAACGTGCAAAAATCGGAGTCAATCTAATGGCTGTTAGTCAACTCCGTTACGGTGCGTATCGAAACGACGTCGTTTTGATATGTGTTCTCAAAGTTTTAAATTTTTTTGCAAAATTGGAGACTCGAACCCGCGAGCCGTAGTCACATGAGAAGCACCGAATACCAACTGATCCCACAACGTTCATTGAATCCGCGAGCCGTAGTCAATCGTTTTAAATTGGGAGGAAATTATGAATACTAGGGTTTCGAATTGAGAAATCGTTTTCTCATTTCTTCTTCTTCTTCTCAGAAATTAGGCATGAACAAAGTTTTACCATGTGAGTACGGCTCGCGGGTTCGAGTCCCCAGTTTTGCAAAAAAATTTAAAACTTTGAGAACACATATCAAAACGACGTCGTTTCGATACGCACCGTAACGTAGTTGACTAACACCTGTTAGATTGACTCCGATTTTTGCACGTTGTATCAAGTATAGGGTATGAGATTCAAATTTTATTGAAGTTTAGGTTGTAAAATACCCTACAAAATTGTCCAGGTATGAAAATCCACGGCGCAGACAGTACGGGTATGAAAACGACGTCGTTTTGATACACGTCAGCGTACACGTGTACGATGACTCAGCACCGTAACGGAGTTGACTAACACCTGTTAGATTGACTCCGATTTTTGCACGTTGTATCAAGTATAGGTATGAGATTCAAATTTTATTGAAGTTTAGGTTGTAAAATACCCTACGAAATTGTCCAGGTATGAAAATCCACGGTGCAGATAGTACGGGTATGAAAATCCCCTTTTCCCGTTGTTATTGTATCACTATTGAATCTAAATGCAATAGAGTTCGTGTTTGTGAATTAGTGATAAATGAAATTTTTTCTTATTTATAGCTTAACATTTCTCAAACTTTATGTTGTAAATTATAATTAGGGATGAAAACACAAATGCAAAAGTTATTTTTCGTTGGAAATTAATCATTACATTTCTCATCTTTTTTTATTTCACAAAAATTATTTCTAAATTGCAAAGTAGTAAATTATTTTTTTCAAATTTGCGTAGTCTACGCAAAATAAGGTTTTGGAGAAATGTCAATGTCATACGATAAACATCTAAATTTTGGAATCCCTACAACGAGAAACGTTGAATTTATTGATCCAGAATTTTTAATTTAGTTTTATAAGAAAAAAAATAATGCAAAAAGTCATGTGTATCAGTGTATGCATGACCAAAAACACTTGAGAATGAAATGATTTTTACCACAAAAAAAACCGTGAAACGACAGTGTCCTCTTGCGTTTGGTTACGCCTAAAACCCGAGACCTCCAATTTCCGGTTCAGGGTAATCCCGGTTTAGTTTACACTTCACAGTTTTAAACCATTTACAGTGAAAAGCTTCCAACCATAGCTTCTTCTTCTTCTTCTTCGAGACGATGCAACGAGGATAATCATCAAATCAATTTCCATTGATTACCAACAAAAATGGCGACTTTGAAGCCACTCGAATCTCAATTACTAAAAACCCTAACATCAATCCTCACATCAGAGAAAACCCATTTGCTCGAAACCCTAAATCCCTACATTCCTCAAATCACACAGCCTCTCCTTTCCTCTCTCCTCTCTTCTCCTTCACTCGCTAAGAAACCAGAAACCCTAGTTTCTTTCTTCCAATGGGCTCAATCTTCAATCCCCGAAGCATTTCCATCGGATTCACCTCTTCCCCTTCTCTCCGTTGTCCGTTCTCTTCTCTCTCACCACAAATTCGCCGACGCCAAGTCTCTTCTCGTCTCCTATATCCGTACCTCCGATGCATCTCTCTCTCTTTGCAACTCTCTTCTCCACCCGAATCTTCATCTATCGCCTCCACCTTCTAAAGCTCTCTTCGACATTGCTCTCAGTGCTTATCTTCATGCGGGAAAGCCTCACGTTGCGTTACAGATTTTCCAGAAGATGATTCGATTAAAGCTTAAGCCAAATCTGCTCACTTGCAATACTCTTCTCATTGGTTTAGTCAGGTACCCTTCTAGCTTCTCTATCTCGAGTGCTAGAGAAGTGTTTGATGATATGGTTAAGATTGGTGTTTCGCTTGATGTGAAAACTTTCAATGTTTTGGTTAATGGGTATTGCTTAGAGGGCAAGCTTGAGGATGCTTTAGGAATGTTAGAGAGGATGGTTAGTGAATTCAATGTTAATCCTGATAATGTTACTTACAATACGATTTTGAAAGCGATGTCTAAGAAAGGGCGTTTGAATGATGTTAAGGATTTGTTGTTGGATATGAAGAGGAATGGATTGGTGCCAAATAGGGTTACTTACAATAATTTAGTGTATGGTTATTGTAAGTTGGGTTCGTTGAAAGAAGCATTTCAGATTGTGGAGCTGATGAAGCAAACTAATATATTACCGGATCTTTGTACCTATAACATTCTGATCAATGGGCTTTGCAATGCGGGGAGTATTAGGGAAGGTCTTGAATTAATTGATGCGATGAAGAGTTTGAAGTTACAGCCCGATGTGGTTACTTACAATACATTGATTGATGGGTGTTTCAAATTGGGGCTTAGTTTGGAGGCTAGGAAGTTATTGGAGCAAATGGAAAACGATGGAGTTAAACCTAACCAAGTGACTCATAATATATCTCTTAAGTGGCTTTGTAAGGAAGAGAAAAGGGAAGAGGTTACTAGAAAGGTTAAGGAATTGGTGGAAATGCACGGGTTTTCTCCTGATATAGTAACGTATCATACTCTAATTAAAGCGTATTTGAAAGTAGGGGATTTGAGTGGAGCCCTTGAGATGATGCGTGAGATGGGGCAAAAAGGCATTAAGATGAATACTATTACCCTTAATACGATTCTTGATGCTCTATGTAAAGAGAGGAAAGTTGATGAGGCTCACAATTTGCTGAACAGTGCGCACAAACGAGGATATATTGTTGACGAGGTTAGTTATGGCACATTAATCATGGGATACTTCAGGGAAGAAAAATTGGAGAAAGCTTTGGAGATGTGGGATGAGATGAAGAGAATAAAGATTACTCCTACCGTGAGCACATTCAACTCTTTAATTGGAGGTCTCTGTCACCATGGAAAAACTGAGCTAGCAATGGAGAAATTCGATGAGCTTGCTGAGAGTGGTTTGCTTCCTGATGACAGTACTTTCAATTCAATCATCCTTGGATACTGCAAAGAAGGACGGGTTGAGAAAGCATTCGAGTTTTATAACGAATCCATCAAACACTCTTTCAATCCCGATAACTATACATGCAACATTCTCCTCAATGGTCTTTGTAAGGAGGGTATGACAGAAAAGGCTCTCAATTTCTTCAATACGCTTATCGAAGAGAGAGAGGTTGATACAGTTACATACAACACAATGATCTCGGCTTTCTGCAAGGACAAGAAGTTAAAAGAAGCATATGATCTTCTATCAGAAATGGAGGAAAATGGGCTAGAGCCTGATCGGTTTACATACAACAGTATTATCACTTCACTTATGGAAGATGGTAAGCTGAGTGAAGCAGATGAATTGTTACATAAATTTTCTGGACAATTTGGATCGATGAAGCAGAATTTACAGGCAGAGACAGAGCAAAATCCAGCAACAAGTGAATCAAAGGAGGAACTTAACACTGAAACTATTGCTTATTCAGATGTAATAAATGAACTTTGTAGTAGAGGAAGATTGAAGGAGCATTCTACATCTTACACTGGGTGAAGGAGAAACTTATTTAGATTTCTTTTTTGTATTTCGATTTTCTCAAAGCATACTTATTAGTTGTTACACAAAGACATTTGAATGTAGTTTTCATGTGATGATGATGATTATTATCTATACTATATATTATGAGAGAGTTTTATCTCCTCTTAAGGTGTCCATCATGTTAAACATCCAATTAAACAAAGCCATGTCACTAATTAATATTTTTATTTTCTTACATTTAATTCTAATTACAATGTTCATTTAATTCATATTTAATTATATTGATATTAATTATAATGAACAAAAATTTAATTAAATAAAAATGATTTAAAAATGAAACTTTAAAATAGTGAAAGTAATACTATGAAAATTTTATTAGTAATAATAATATAATTCAACTTTTAACATAAACAACACAATTGAAAATGATCATACTTCAAATTTTTGAGTGTTGAGTTTTAGTGTGGAAGTAAAATTTAAATGCATGGTAGAGTAAAAAAAATTATGTTACTGTATTACTAAAATTTTAAAGAGAAAAAAAAATTTAAAGTGAAAAAGCAATATATATAATAGGGAATATATACAAAGTAACCATGGATTCAAAAAAAATATACAAACTAACCATGAGTTACAGTAACTTGTCTGTAACATGTCGGAATGCATGTGTAGTTACGTAAATGTCCTTTGTAACACGCTTTCTTTTCGAACTACATGTGATAGCATAATATATCTCTTTTTATCATGTATTTTTCTCGTACTACACGTTATTTATAAAGAACACATGGTATTTCTTGGAAAAAACATTCTATTCATTGTAATATCTGTCTTTATCATGTTATTTTGTAATAATACACGTGTTTTATTAAGATCACATATGATTTTTTTTTTAAATGATTATTTTTTAGTAATACACGATTTTTATTAAGATTACATGTGATTTCTTTTTAAAAAGATTCTATTCAGATTAAATTTTCCATAACAATGTTTCTTCTTAAAAAAACACTACATAACAATGTTTTTTCTTAAAAATTCACTATGTTTTTTGAAATATCATGTCTTTTAGTTCAATATAACATGCGAAATTTAAATGTTACATGCTATTTTGAAAAATCTCACGAAACTGTCTCGCATATCGTTGATCTCACAACAAACAAAGGATAGTTTTGGTATTTCAGATCATCCGACAATGTGGGTCCATGGCTATTTTGCAACAAAAAACTTTATCTCTGCTATTTTCTTAATTTGAGTGTTTTATTTGGCTATTCCCTAATATTACCCTATATAATATGTGTAATATACAAAAAAGCAATAAACAAAAGAGGCTAGTGAGAGAAGAGTGTATCCAAATTGTATAAACGCTTCGAATCATTATCATATGTGTCGAGTATTGCTTAAATAAAATTGCTGAAGCAAAGGCGGGAGATGTTGGAATTTTCTACGATGTTGAGAACTGCAAATTTGGTTCAACTATTGAATATATTGTTACGAATGTTGAGAATGAGTATGTTGTTGGTAAAAGAAGGGTTTATAATGGTCACCGAACCATTTTGACAGATACTCAGCATGCTCCTTATCAATAGATAGGTTTCATATACCTAAAAGCCCCTTTGAGACGCCAGATTTGTTATTGTGGCTTTCTAGCTAGATATCGTGATGGAGAAGCTAAGCTGAATATGATCAATTCGCAAGGGCGTTGGATGTAGCAGATTCGTTGCTCAACGACGAGTTGTTAGGTCGTGCTGTTGCTGGCGTCTTACCATGTTCTGAATATTAATTTGAATTGGTTTGGAATTGGTCTGAACCGGATGGTTTAATTGAATTAGAAACTTTTTTTTCTTCTATATATACATGATTGTCATTGCTTTCTCTCTCAGAGCTCTCTCGAAGCAGAATCTTCTTCATCTTCTTTATCATCATCTTCTTCATCATCACTCGCAGGTAAGCCAAAAATTCTCCTCTTGCTTTGGGTTAAATCTTCTGGAAATTGATTCACGTTCAAAGTAACTGGATCTAGCTTGATTCACTTTATGGTTATTTTGGATCTAGCAATTTCACCCTTAGGTTTCATAAATCATACACTAGTCTAGAAATGTGATGAACTCTAGTATTCTCTTTATGCTTAGATTTTCTCTGATGTGCTTAGATCTAGTCTTATCAAACTTGTTGTAAATAGCAGTATATACCAAATTGCTTACTGATACTAATGGCTTTTAATGTAACATTGTCTTAACATTGTCTTAATTTTCAAACCAATCCTGTATGCAGAACATTTTGAGTTTTACCTATGACTACATGCGTTAAATTTTTAAAAAGTATAACCATATTAATATTCTCATCAAGTATTCAAAAATTTATTCTTATAACTTATTTTTCAAACTTTTCGTGTTTTCTTTTAACGAATAAAAACACTATATTACAATGACAAATACAATTTTTATCCAACTAAATTGATTCTTAATACAATTTTTATCCAACAGTTGTAATAAATACAATATTACAATTGTTATTTAAGCTACAACGATTATTTTTTATTAGTTAATATACATGTTATATAAATTTAAAAAAAATTATACATACCAAATCGGAGCTTTTTGTGACAAACGGGTCACAACGGCAGAGAAAAAATAAGGATGCCACGGATCAATATCCTATAAATCTGAAAAATGAAGAAAATACCAAATTTTTGTAGAGCTTTCTTCAGTGGTTTATATTGGGCCTTGAAGAGTACAAAATTTGGGGAGTGGAGGGAGTGAACATCATGAAGAAAGTTGTGAAAACATGACTGGAAGTGAAAAAGTAGACATCATGTATGAACTGCTGTTAATTTTAGACATTTATGATCTTTAATTTTTGGATGAAAGATTATATCATTTTGCAATCAATCTCATGGATTGTTATTATCAAGTTCGATATCGATATATGTGTTGATCAAAGTTATTATTTTTAGTCTATTTTTCTAAAGTTTTCAATTTTTCATTGCAAAAGATCCATTCTTCTTTGATTTTCTTTAGAAGATGTGAATTTCTTTAAAAAGTGATGTGATTGATTTGTGAGTCCATTCAAGTTATTAATAAAGAAAAATCATATCTAGATAAAATAAAAAATAACGTTCTTTTCTTGTCTCTTACCATTTAGTATCTAGATAAAGATTTGTGTATAATTATCAAGATTTGTATTTTAAAATTTAGAACAAAAAAATGGGAAATAATCATATAGCAAACAACTGTCTAAGATATAGAGGAAATTTTATTAAATGCCAGCCAGATTTTATAAAACAATACTTATTTGATATTTCTTTTATTTCATAATATCAATCATTTTAGCTAAAAACACATAGATTAAATATCTACTTTTAAAAAAGTGTAGTCAATCATAAAAGATACTGCATAATAGAAATAGTTATAAAATATTAAAGTAATATACAATTTGCATAGAAACTTAAAAACGACTTATATTGTAAAACAAAAAAGGTTATCCAAAACGACTTATATTATGAAACCGAGGGAGTATAAATTTTAATCTAAATATTTCGGTTATATAATCTGAGTAGATATTATTTACACAATAATTCCTTTTTACGATCCTATACTATTATTTGGGGAGTACACTTTATAATATACCCTTAACTAACATTCTCTTTTGTAAAAATTTACTTAAGAATGCCATTAGAGATAAAATTTCAAAGAGTAAATTAATTCATCTCATTAAGGATAAACAAGTCAATTTATACAATTTAATTAATTTAATTTAATTATAAAAACGAAAATACAATATTATTATTTTTAAATGACCAATCAAAATGAATATATAAGATTTGATATCTAACTTACCTTATTAATTTGTTATTAATCATTATATTTCACCTCTCATCTTTATATGATTCTATTATTGTCAAACAAATAAATCATCATATCATCCATATAATAATAAAAAATAGATTTTTTTTCGCATATGCCATGATTTGAATTTTTAAAAACGAATATAAATTATTCAATTTATGAAAAAAAAATTTAACGAATCAAAAATTTAGACTTGGATAATGTATTTCTTTTAAACAAAAATAAATTCAACAAAAATTCCGCCTGAATAACGGGTCAGAATTTGAGTAATTATATTCAATTTCATATATTTTTTTAAAATATATAATTTTATATACTACGATAAAATTTTAAATATTTTAATTTGGAATATTTAAAAATAGTTTGACTTGATATTTAAAAACAAATATCATCAATACTTAGGCCGTGTTCTGGGCAAAATCGCAGCGATAGCGACTGCGATCAATAAATAACCTTCAACTCACTTTAATTTTTTCTTCTCTTCTTCATTTTCTGCCGTGCGACTCTTTTCCGATGATTTTGGAGTCGCCGGAATAAGTGGCGATTCTATCCATACTTTATTTTCAAGTTGCGACTGTTATTTGGTTTAAAACTCATGGACGGAGCTTTACGAAACTGCCCGGAGAAGATGAAGGATCTAACCCAAAAATCCAATTCTTAATTAACAATTTCTGAAATTTGCCATTCTACCCTCTAAATTATAAATAATTACAAATATATTTCTTTTTAAAAGAATCGCCGGTGGGAGTCGTGCGATTTTGAAAAGAACACGGCCTTAATAAATAAAAAATTTAAAAATTAGACATACACTAATTTGGTTTTCCTAAAACAAATATATTTAAAAAATATTTATAATAGACAGGGGTTAAATATAATGTATTATATGATGGAATGAGTTATGATCTTTATAACTATTTGAATATTTATATTTAAGTTCATACAATTATTATTTTTAAATTCTTAATTTTATATTCTAAAATAAAAAATAAAAAAAATATTTTAATTTGGAAATTTTTTTTAAATAGTTTAATATAATATTTTTAAGAATATCATAAATATTTAATAAATCAAAAGATAAAAGTTATAAATACTCTAATTTTATTTTTCAAAGCATAAATATTTAAAATATTTATAG